AGCTTCAAAAGGATTGAATTATTCCTCCGGTGTTAGTACAAATATCAATATTTCATTTACAAATCCTGCAAAAGAAGGAGATGTTTTATTCATAGAAGCAGAATGTATAAAATTTGGCAAGGCTATGGGATTTGCTGATATAAAAATATATAACAAAGATACTAAAAAGTTAATAGCTTAAGGTCAACATATTAAATATATTGTGATCGCATTGAGGCGATCAAAATCAGAACAAGCAAAAATTTAAATAAAATATTTTATTAATATTATATTTATATTATAAATTTAATTTTGATTACAAGGATATCCATTTCTATTGCCAATAATTTTATCATGTTCTAATTTAAATTTTATTAATATTTGTTTTGCTTGTTCACTAGATCGATTTTTAGTAATTCTAACCCATTTTTGTTTAAATTTTTTATTTTTATACCAAAAAAAACCCCATGCTTTTTTATTAGAATGAAAACTAATTCCATTATTTTTTGATGTATTATTTTTAAATAATTTTCTATTTAACATATTTTGAGAATATGTTGTTTCTCTTAAATTTTTTTCATGATTATCAAGTCCATTACGATTAATATGGTTTGTCATTTTCCATTCTGAGTGAATCATCTAATGAAATAATTTTGTTGTTTTATTTATTTTTGTTTTTACATAATAAGTATATCCAATTTTAGCAGCATGCCAAGTATATTCTTTTACAAATTGATAATGTTTCAGATCACATATCATAATTTTGTTTTGAGTTAATTGAACTTGAAGATAAAATTTTTCATTTTTATCTTTTACGACTTGAATTTGATTTTTTATTTTTCTTTTAAATTTCTTTCTATCATACCAATCAGTCAGATAGGTAAATTCTTTCTGACTCATTTTAATAATTATTTTAAAATTTATCAAATAAAATACAAATATTTATATAAATTTAATAATTATAATTAATTATTAATATATTTTAATTCGTTTTACATTTTATGTATTTTCTTATTACTACAAATTCTACTATAAAACATTGTATCAATAGTACCGAAACAATCACCATGATGATTACCACCATTTATAGTGTAGCCAAAATACTTTATCACTCCATCAATTTCTTTTTTCTTTTTTTAGTCTCATTTTTCATAACTAAAACATTTACAAGATTATTCTCAAAATCAATATTTGTAATCTTTACAATTCTATATTTTTCATTATCAATACTACCAATAAATAATGGCCAATTTTGATTCGTAATTCAAATATTTTGTAAATTGACATTTTTTTTTGGATTTAAATTATTTAGTTAGCCAAACTTGCAATGTATTTATAAAAATATATAAATTTTGTATTTATTAAATAAAAACAAATAAAACGATAAATAAAAAATAATAAATAAAAAATAAATAAAAAATCAATACAATAAATATTTCTTTGCATACTCCTCAAGATCTGAATAAGTCCAAATATATTTACAAAAAAATTTTTCGCATAATCTGTTTACCTCTTTCCACCAATATTCAAAATCTTCTTCGTAATATTTTAAACGCCACACGTGTAAATCATATGTGTTGTTTAATATGGTATATTTATATCCTCCATTAAACATATAAAAATATGAACGTACATGCAATTCTAAAAATTTTAATATAGTTATCAATCTTTTATTTTTTGTAATTTCATTTATATAAAAACTTGCTTCAATAATCTGATTTTTAATCAAATGATCTTTAAATAATTTATATTTAATAAAAAATATCACATTCTCAAACTTGAACTTATCAATCAATGAATGATTCTCTTGGTCAATGTCTTCATATGATAAATCAATATAAAATTTATTTTCATTTAAGGATATTGTCCAAGTGGACCATTCTTCTATTGTTTTATTATAAATTTTATTATTTTTTTTTAAAATTTTTTTAACAAATTTTATCAAAGACATTTTAATTATATAATAAACATTTATTTTCAAATCTATATAAACATTCTTTTATCTATAAATCTTACTAGAAATATCAGAAAAAATACGAAATAATGACGCTTTTCAAACGAAAGCCTCTCTCTAGCCTTTACTCTTAAAATTTCTTAAAATTAAAC